AATACGGATATTTTACGGATGGTGCGTTTTGTTGTGATGTTTCAAAACATAAACACTATTGGACTCATAAACAGAGCAAAACCGTTTGTAAAATGAATCACGTTTTAATTCATTGCTATATGAAATTGCTATTTTCATGATGCGTTTCTTTTTTGTGAGAGTATAGTATCATTTAACTGTTTATAGAAATGTGGCAATGCCCCTTCAAAGAAAACGTTGTGATGTTGTTATTCACCTTTAGGCTATCAGATGTGTTTCAACCCGTTATTGTTGGAAACACAGACTTTAGGAAACGTGCAGATAAAACGGAACCGCATTATCTCAGATGTCTTAGATAATCAGTTGTAAATATCTGAATCTGAGCAAGCCTGGATTGGTTGGTTGGATTGTTGTTTAACGCCTCACTCCAAGGCGGCGGCCTGTAATTGATCACGTCTGGACCAGACAATCCAGTGATCAACAGCGTTAACATCGATCTACACAACTGGGATACGTTCACCACTCGATCCCGTTAGTCGGGGCTACTGAAGACCAATACTAACCTGGATCTTGAAGAGTAGCAAGACTGGAACTCGTTAACTTAGAATATAACAGTACTGACATACGGTAAACAATCCTCCTGGTTCACAAACTTGCTGTTAGATTTCCGCATGAAGTTGGAAAAAGGGCCTTTTTCACCACACATTTTGTGTACTTGATAATTCGAAAATCCAAAATTGACACATATAAGAGAAATAATTTGGTTAATTGAAACCCATTGGAACATGTCTGATAATTTTGATACCAGTAGTTCAAAATATTCCTTTACTGAACAGTTTCATATTTCCACTGTCTCCTAAATAATTCTTAACTTCCATATTCTGTCAAAGAAAAATTGTAAACATATTGCAACACTGATAGGTTTTGACCCCAACTGTTCGTATGCTATATGTACTTCTCATTTCGCTTTATTTGTTACATCAAAAGACTCGGTTATACAGATGTCACGGATAGATAGATATAATATCGCTTATTGTGGCTGTCTTATGTTGAATAACTCGGGTTAAGGAATTTGTTACAAATCATGTATAAATACGTCTGAACGGTTTACTTTTGGTATATATACAGTCTGTGATTATATTAAATAAGTTTAGAAACTATATTAAATCTAAAATATTAATATATGTTAAGGTTTTCCTTACCGCGCTAGTTGTTGAGTAAGCTTTCTGTTGTGTCCGCGGTACTATTCCTTTCCTATCCACGAAGTTATTACACAGTTGACGAGAAACCTGAGGACTACATATCTGTGTGTTTACCTACACCAAGACAACACGAACTAAGCAAGTCCCATAATCCACTCCCATCGTTAACTTACCGGCTCACAGGCAGATATTTAAACCAGCGACACAAGGCGATGAATGGTATTTTTCGAGTGGGTCTTTTCATAGAGAACTCCTTTACTAGAGAGTCGAAGTCCACAGCAAACACGAACCACTTGACTTAATCAGCGACCCTATCTCCAGTGTACTGTCACGCTTTGCGGCTCATTACAAAATCATTTTCATATTTCATCAAAGTAAATAGTGTGTATATTCGTCAATGATCTAGTCTGGTTTACGTTGTATCCGTCAGAATTAATCTGGGAATATTAACCGCATATGGTAACACCTGGTTTATGAGACCGGGTCTATTATTGCGTTGACTGTGAACCGTTCATTTGTGAAAGCAGCAGTAAAGGGGAGATTGTATGGCGAAATATAAAGAAACTAGATGACATATCACTATCAGCATATTTCAAAGCATTCGAAATGCGTAAGAAATCTATTCCTGTTATGTTGCCCTCGATATGTGACTCCTTCGGAAAAACAACAAGTCTATATGTTTGAATGTTTGACATACTTCGACGTATTAATCATTAGTATTTAGGTTTCTATGGTAGGACAGCAATAGTTTCTTCCATTGTGTACAGGTCATGATTTTGAAGTGTTTTAAATTTCCAAAGGCGTCTTATGAGCCCAGCGTTCCACTTCATATTTCATGAGCTATAAGACTATTATCCCTGAGTTTTATTAACGTGGTACGCATTTTACCTTTGATAAAACCAACTGTGTCGAGCACAGGTTCAGTTCAAAAATACGCACTCAACTTTATGGATAACAACTTCTGGTTTATTGCATATAAAGTTTCGATACCGATTCTTACACCGTTATACTGTTGGAGTCACGCGGTATCGAAATGTCGTGCGAAATATACCTAAGGTTATCAATAAAGCCTCTGTTTTCTTATTTACCCACCAGCGTCTGAATGTCAACTAAACGGTTCGGTAATTTTCTGCGATATTTTCCTCTTTTATTTCTTTTTCTCCTCTTTTTATAAAGGAGACTGGTACTTGGTGTATGGTAGGAATAATTACAATCAATACAAACATGTTTGTATGTTATTTATGTTTGCATTATGTTTGTTTGGCTCGCCCTATGCACGCAACACGCCCATCGCATTGCAGGATCTTCGACCACTGTGTCTCCAATGTCCTTATTGAGGCATCAACTACTGTAGTAGTATTGCTTTTGCTTATAATACCATTGGGGTATTCCGGGAATACGTAGCGATTTATTCAGGACAACGTTTTTCCTGAATGAAAATTCCAGAGGCTAATTACCATTAGCAGAGGCTTGTAGTCATGACATAGATTTGTTTGAAACCACTTTACTGCCATTAACTGAAAGATGATCGTCTTTATTGTTAATCCCCATTGTACGTTGACGGTCAGCTACCCCGAACGACCAGTGCAACAGTTTGTAATGTTGGAATCTAGGAATTAATATATGTAGATGACCATGGCTACAGGAGCCATTGTCCAGAGATTGAAAAAATGCCTCACGCTTAATATTAAGATTTTGGTCCCCATAGGAGAGTATAATATGAGTTATAAGTTAAAAATGAAGAAAAAGTGATTTTACAGGGATTGAAATTCACTTTGGAAGTTGCCAAAAGAGTTTCATCTTCTTATCCCAGTTACTTGGACCTGTTCCTGGTCCTCACTGGACCGGGAGACAGGGGACTGACAGTACACACTGCAGACACGTTCAGTAGGGGCGGTGGGGTAGCCTAGTGCTTAAAGCGTTCGCTCGCCACGCCGAAGACCCGGGTTCGATTCCCTACGTGGGTACCATTTCTGGTGTCCCCCGCTGTGATATAGCTGGAATATTGCTAAAAGCGGCGTAAAATTAAACTCACTCACTCACGTTCATTAAGGATCAAATCAAGGGGAGTGACCCCTGGTCAAGGTCCATGTGGTGGCCGGGCAGTGAGCACACAGCGTGGTCCATGAGACCAATGTTAGTTAAGATAACATATCTATTCACACCCAAAGTGTCTAATACCTTGTGCCACAGAAGTTGACAAACGCACATCGCTAAAATCATGGAGGTAGCAGTATTTCTTATGACACCGTGATAGGGCTGATCTGTACATACTTGTAAACACAACACGCTCTCAATATCGTCACTTCAAAGCGAACAGTACACGGACCACTTACGTATTGAAAATTACCATTAACCAACGCTATCGGCCATAAGCCAAACGCCTGCGTCAGTAGTGTTCAGCCGAATACTTTACTGCACATTCACTTTACAGCTGTAAGTGAAATAATGTAAACATTCTGAACTAATAAAAACACAGATGTTAAATATTAAGAAGAAATAAATAATTCTTCCGAACATAGTAAATAGTTACCCTAAAAAGAAATAATGATTTGCCGAACAAAATGAATAGTTAAGCTGATTGTTTGTTTGAGTAATTCAGTGAATAGTTAATCTCCCGTATGTTGAAACGTACTTAAAATATTAGGATAATTTATCAGAAAACCACACGTCGTCATGCTGAATGACATGTTCCCGTACAGTTGTTGTTGGGCGCCGTTAGGTTTCTAGACAAAATACATTTATTTTTTAATCTACAACAGAAGCAAAGAAAGTTTCTAGCTTTTTGACCTGATAATGCCCTTTGATTCATACGGTTAAGGAACATGAACCGTAAAGACGATATTGCTCATGAGGCATTGTGACATTCCACGTTTGTTATCCCCTTATGTCAGTAATCTAACTGTTAATGTCCAAGGAGCTTTAAGGTATCAAATGGAACGTTCAGTAACAGAACGTCGTCAGGAAACGTAAACATAATACAGGAAAGAAATTATAACCCGGAAGGTTAGTCTAGATTTTAAGGCCATTGTCATGTGAAATACCTTAGTCCATATCTCGAAAAAAAGTTATCTATGACCAGTCACGACATGCACACATCTTTTGAAAGACATCAACACGACGTAAATATTCGTTGGTTCTAAGAATAACGACACGGAACTAGAGAGACGGGCTTCAATGCCACTTGATCGGCCGTAAGTAGGCATGCCCTGCTTCTTACATAAGTTCACGGGGTCGCGCTTACCTGCAGCTACCCGCGTTAAGCAAATGGACGTCTTTTATAATTTTATAAATATTTCAAAAACAGATATTAAGTGAGTTAATGAGTGTATGAAATGGTAGCAGCCATATAATCTGTCAGTTTGTACAATGGTTGTTCACAGGCTGCAGGGGCGGATCCAGGATTTTGGAAAAAGGGGGATGCACATAAATCATGAAGTTAGGTTAGGGGAAATGCTCCTCATGGAAAGTTTTTTTCGGAGGGAGTGGGGTCCGCCCCTGGGTCATTTATTCGCTCGACAAAAATATTACAATCGTTGAACTTGTTTGTAGAAGGTCTATGTCACAAGGATGTAATAAATTACAAGCAGATTCAACATCTCTCAGTTACATTAACAATAATGCCAGTTTTCAGTTTCCAAGCGTATAAAACACGTCAATACTTAACACACTGGGGGTATTTTGTTTGATGACAATAAACACGGAAGTACAGACGTTGTCCCATTGTTAACGATCACGTCAAAGTACACACGAAATAACGTCCGTATCTCTGTGATAGGCGCAACTCTTCCCTGTGTACTACTTTCCTCTTGCGCAGAGTAGCAGGTTAGCGGCCAAATCATTACGCAGATCTTTACCCTGTTGTGATCACACCATTCAGTCACCCACAGACATAATGAAGGCACCTTTCTTCATGTTACATATTGGCTTAGCGTGTAAGTATCACAGTTTCAAAGGTTTTGTTTTTATCAGGGAAATCTTATTTATAACGTATGGTTATTGCAAAAGTCACGACAATGCAAATCAATGGTGCAAACTTAACATCTATAACTGTGTCTCTGAATCTACCTTTGATGGTCACCCTATCTGAAGAAACGGGTATACATTGTTATTCGAACCCGGGTCTGAGGCGTACCGAACGATTTAACTATTGGGCTACATGAATCGAATTTGGACAAGCTAAAAACAGGAGCCATGATCAACACAATCGGGGATCTATGATACACACTACTTCAGGAGCACGCGTTGTGCCTCGTGACTGGCTCCGTGATACACAGGAACACAGTCCTTCCTGGTGAATACACAGGTACACACCTTCTGTCTGCTGACTGGCTCCGGGATACACACGTACACACATTGTGTCTGGTGACTGTTTCCATGATACACAGGTACACTCGTTATACCTGGTGACTGGCTCCGGGATACACAGGAACACACATTCGGTCTGGTGACTGGCTAAATGATACACAGGTACGCAGGTTCTGTCTGGTGACTGGCTCCGGGATACACTGGAACACACATTGTGTCTGGTGACTGTTTCCATGATAGACAGGTTCACTCGTTATACCTGGTGACTGGCTCCGGGATACACAGGAACACAAATTCGGTCTGGTGACTGGCTAAATGATACACAGGTACGCAGGTTCTGTCTGGTGACTGGCTCCGGGATACACAGGAACACACATTGTGTCTGGTGACTGGCTCCATGATACACACGTACGCACATTGTGTCTGGTGACTGGCTCCATGATACACAGGTACGCAGGTTCTGTCTGGTGACTGGCTCCGGGATACACAGGAACACACATTGTGTCTGGTGACTGGCTCCATGATACACACGTACACACATTCTGCCTGGTGACTGGCTCCGGGATACACAGGAACACAAACTTGTGTCTGGTGACTGGCTCCATGATACACAGGAACACACATTGTGTCTGGTGACTGGCTCCATGACACACACGTACACACGTTCTGCCTGGTGACTGGCTCCGGGATACACACGTACACACATTCTGCCTGGTGACTGGCTCCGGGATACACAGGGGCACACATTGTGTCCTGTGACTGGCTCCATGATACACAGGTACACTCGTAATACCTGGTGACTGGATCCAGGATACACAGGAACACAGTCCTTCCTGGTGACTGGCTCCATGATACATAGGTACACAGTCCTTCCTGGTGACTGTCTCCATGACACACAGGAAAACAGTCCTTCCTGGTGACTGGCTCCATGATACACAGGTACACAGTCCTTCCGGTGACTGGTTCCATGATACACAGGAACAAGCGTTCTGTCTGGTGACTGGCTCCATGAAACACAGGAACACAGTCCTTCCGGTGACTGGTTCCATGATACACAGGAACAAGCGTTCTGTCCTGTGACTGGCTCCATGATACACAGGTACACAGTCCTTCCTGGTGACTGGCTCCATGATACACAGAAACACAGTCCTTCTTCGTGACTGGCTCCATAATACAGAGGAACACGCGTTGTGCCTGGTGACTGGTTCCAGGATACACAGGAACACAGTCCTTCCTGGTGACTGGCTCCATGATACACAGGAAAACAGTCCTTCCGGTGACTGGCTCCATGATACACAGGAACACGCGTTCTGTCTGGTGGCTGGCTCCGTGATACACAGGTACACAGTCCTTCCTGGTGACTGGCTCCATGATACACAGAAACACAGTCCTTCTTCGTGACTGGCTCCATAATACAGAGGAACACGCGTTGTGCCTGGTGACTGGTTCCAGGATACACAGGAACACAGTCCTTCCTGGTGACTGGCTCCATGATACACAGGAACACGCGTTCTGGCTAGTGGCTGGCTCCTTGATACATAGGTACACAGTCCTTCCTGGTGACTGGCTCCTTGATACACAGGTACACAGTCCTTCCTGGTGATTAGCTCCATGATACACAGGAACAAAGTCCTTCTTGGTGACTGGCTCGATGATACATAGAAACACAGTCCTTTCTCTAGACTGGCTCCGTGATACACAGGAACACAGTCCTTCCTGGTGACTGGCTCCATGATACACAGTAACAAAGTCCTTCCTGGTGACTGGCTCCATGATACACAGGAACACACATTGTGTCTGGTGACTGGCTCCATGATACCCAAGTACACACGTTCTGCCTGGTGACTGGCTCCGGGATACACACCTACACACATTCTGCCTGGTGACTGGCTCCATGATACACAGGTACACTCGTTATACCTGCTGAATCGATCCGGGATACACAGGAACACAGTCCTTCCTGGTGACTGGCTCCATGATACACAGGAACAAATTCCTTCCTGGTGACTGGCTCCATGATACACAGGAACACGCGTTCACACTGGTGGCTGGCTCCAAGATACACAGGAACACAGTCCTTCCTGGTGACTGTCTCCATGACACACAGGAAAACAGTCCTTCCTGGTGACTGGCTCCATGATACACAGGTACACAGTCCTTCCGGTGACTGGTTCCATGATACACAGGAACAAGCGTTCTGTCTGGTGACTGGCTCCATGAAACACAGGAACACAGTCCTTCCGGTGACTGGTTCCATGATACACAGGAACAAGCGTTCTGTCCTGTGACTGGCTCCATGATACACAGGTACACAGTCCTTCCTGGTGACTGGCTCCATGATACACAGAAACACAGTCCTTCTTCGTGACTGGCTCCATAATACAGAGGAACACGCGTTGTGCCTGGTGACTGGTTCCAGGATACACAGGAACACAGTCCTTCCTGGTGACTGGCTCCATGATACACAGGAAAACAGTCCTTCCGGTGACTGGCTCCATGATACACAGGAACACGCGTTCTGTCTGGTGGCTGGCTCCGTGATACACAGGTACACAGTCCTTCCTGGTGACTGGCTCCATGATACACAGAAACACAGTCCTTCTTCGTGACTGGCTACATAATACAGAGGAACACGCGTTGTGCCTGGTGACTGGTTCCAGGATACACAGGAACACAGTCCTTCCTGGTGACTGGCTCCATGATACACAGGAACACGCGTTCTGGCTAGTGGCTGGCTCCTTGATACATAGGTACACAGTCCTTCCTGGTGACTGGCTCCTTGATACACAGGTACACAGTCCTTCCTGGTGATTAGCTCCATGATACACAGGAACAAAGTCCTTCTTGGTGACTGGCTCGATGATACATAGAAACACAGTCCTTTCTCTAGACTGGCTCCGTGATACACAGGAACACAGTCCTTCCTGGTGACTGGCTCCATGATACACAGTAACAAAGTCCTTCCTGGTGACTGGCTCCATGATACACAGGAACACACATTGTGTCTGGTGACTGGCTCCATGATACCCAAGTACACACGTTCTGCCTGGTGACTGGCTCCGGGATACACACCTACACACATTCTGCCTGGTGACTGGCTCCATGATACACAGGTTCACTCGTTATACCTGCTGAATCGATCCGGGATACACAGGAACACAGTCCTTCCTGGTGACTGGCTCCATGATACACAGGAACAAATTCCTTCCTGGTGACTGGCTCCATGATACACAGGAACACGCGTTCACACTGGTGGCTGGCTCCAAGATACACAGGAACACAGTCCTTCCTGGTGACAGGGTCCATGATACTCAGGAACATGCGTTCTGTCTGGTGGTTGGTTCCATGATACACAGGTACACAGTCCTTCCTGGAGACTGGCTCCATGATACACAGGTACACATTCCTTCCTGGTGACTGGCTCCATGATACACAGGAACAAAGTCCTTCTTGGTGACTGGCTCGATGATACACAGGAACAAAGTCCTTCCTCGAGACTGGCTCCGAGATACACAGGAACACAGTCCTTCCTCGTGACTGGCTCCGTGATACACAGGAACACAGTCCTTCCTCGTGACTGGCTCCATGATACACAGGAACACAGTCCTTCCTGGTGACTGGCTCCATGATACACAGGAACATGCGATCTATCTGGTGGCTGGCTCCATGATACACAGGTACACAGTCCTTCATGGTGACTGGCTCCATGATACACAGGAAAACAGTCCTTCCGGTGACTGGCTCCATGATACACAGGAACAAGCGTTCTGTCTCGTGGCTGGCTCCATGACACACAGGTACACACGTTATTTCTGGTGACTGGCTCCGGGATACACTGGAACACACATTGTGTCTGGTGACTGTTTCCATGATAGACAGGTACACTCGTTATACCTGGTGACTGGCTCCGGGATACATAGGAACACACATTGTGTATGGTGACTGGCTCCGGGATACACAGGAACACAAACTTGTGTATGGTGACTGGCTCCATGATACACAGGAACACACATTGTGTCTGGTGACTGGCTCCATGATACACACGTACACACGTTCTGCCTGGTAACTGGCTCCGGAATACACACGTACACACATTTTGCCTGGTGACTGGCTCCGGGATACACAGGAACCGATTGTGTCTTGTGACTGGCTCCTGTGTCCTGTGTCCTGTGACATGATACACAGGTACACTCGTTATACCTGCTGAATGGATCCGGGATACACAGGAACACAGTCCTTCCTGGTGACTGGCTCCATGATACACAGGTACACAGTCCTTCCTGGTGACTGGCTCGATGATATACTCGAACACGCGTTCTGTCTGGTGGCTGGCTCCGTGATACACAGGTACACAGTCATTCCTAGTGACTGGCTCCATCATACACAGGAACACAGTCCTTCCGGTGACTGGCTCCATAATACAGAGGAACACGCATTGTGCCTGGTGACTGGCTCCAGGATACACATGAACACAGTCCTTCCTCGTGACTGGCTCCATGATACACAGGAACACAGTCCTTCTTCGTGACTGGCTCCATAATACAGAGGAACACGCATTGTGCCTGGTGACTGGCTCCAGGATACACAGGAACACAGTCCTTCCTGTTGACTGGCTCCATGATACACA